GTTTAGTTTACACTCGAAGTAGATTGGTCTCTCTAAGCGAGATCCCAATTCGTCGGTCATCCGACGTGATGTCTCCGTTCCCTCCTTCAGGGAACGAGGGTTACCATACGTAACCGAGACGTTCTTCATACTTTTATTTAGTAGCAATTGTTTTAGAAAAACATGCTGCATTGTGAATTCAGTCATAGCTACAGGGGGTCTCTTCAATCCTACTGATTTATCTGAACATTTTTTTTTGCATCACATTTTTTGCATAAGGTTCCTCAGTACTTGAGGACTTGAAGTCGTCTTCTCATTCGCCAGGGCTTGGTCCTGATGTTTGCTATCAGTTTCTTCTTCTCCTCCACCTCCTCCATCAGTTTGGCCATTTCTCCTTCAGACATGGACTCCTCCTCTTCATCTGATTTGGAATCATCACCACTAAGACAGAACATGAGGTGATTGAGTGCCAAATTATTACATTACATTGAGTTATTTTGTCTTACATAAACTTGCATAATTTTTTGTTAGATTTAGGTTTAAAACAACAAAACAAAATAAGTTTAAGATAGATTTTTGAAAGACAAGAATGATAAATATGAGATATACTGGTAACCCTTTATTTTAACGTGCCCTTGTTACACGTTGCATATTTTTACTCGATAGTAATAACATTAAATTCTGCTGAATTACAACCAAATAACACTGAAAAACCCTAACCTAAACTCTTAGTAATTAATGTTGTGTAATTACACTGTAATAAGGACACATCAAAATAAGGTGTCACCGATTTTAGATATGTTTATTGAAAAACAAGACAGAAATATAGTTTTTTTGTTTCCAGTGTACCCATGCCTTATTGTGTCCCCCTCTTTGTTTAAATATCCTACACCCATAATACTAACCCTGTATTTGAGCATATAATGTTGAAAATATCTTCTTTCTTTCTTTCTTTCTTTTCCAAGAGTTCATACTTTTAAAATGGTGATAAACTACACTGAACTCTAACAAGCACAAGTGTGTGTCTAGAGCGTAGGGGGAGACATAGTATTAAAAATGCAATGGGTTTAAATAGTTAAAATGATACTCTTGTGGTTATAGGGAAAGGCTGGGATAGTTGAGCATATATTTTCTAAGAAAACAAACCACTTTTATAAATAATATGGAAATATGGTATGTAAATTAGATCTGAAAAACTATAAATATTCCAATAGAACTTTGGGGATGGACTGTAAAAGAGGAAGGTATAAGTAGGACTATCTATTATGGGAGTTTCAGGAAAGTTTTGTCTTACATATAGTGATCTCTTGGTGTAGGTGTCGCGAGCAGTCAATGAAGGCAGTGTACATGTCAGCATACCTACTATTCTTTTTCTTCTTTTCATCTTTGTCGCTGTCTTTGTCATTTTCCTTGTCCTTTCCTTTCCCCTTACCATCCTTCTTTTTGTTCCCACCTTTCCTGTTTTTTCTGCCAGACTTCTCATTTTCCCCATCTCGCCCACTCTCTCGTACTTTTCCTCTTCTCCTGTTCCCGGCACATCTCCTCTGTGGAATATCATCATCGCTATCTTCCTCATCTGCATGGGCTGCTTTCTTTTTATTGGCCGCTCGACGACCTCTTGGAGGTTCATCATCCTCATCTTCATCCTCACCGTCCTCACTGGCAGCTGCTTTGCCCCGCTTACCGGCTGCTGTTTTTTTAGCACCCTTGCCTTTTGCTTTCTTGTCCTCTGAGTAAAAGATGGCACAACTGTATTTTTTATAAAAGCATATCATGCATAAAAACAAGACATTCTTGCTGAGTAACACAGATAAACAAACAGATCTGTACAAAAAAATAAAATAAATAAATAAATAAAAGTGAGGTTCCCTCTTCAAAATGTGCCGTTCCAGCTGCTGGGTGTTTTCTAGATTATGAGCAATCAAAATTTTGATGTTTTCCTTAGCACCACTAATTAAAAAAAAAAAAAAAGATAAATAAATGAATAAATTCAGCATAATCTTTTTTCTTACCTTCAGCACTCTCCACATCTCCATCAATCTCTATTCCCACTGTAAAAAATGTACAAGTACCTCTCTAAGTACACAACAGATTATAGATTTTTAATCAACTTATCACTAAAACAATGATCATCATTATTAGAAGTAACTATCAAATTATGCTACATTTGAAAAAAAAAATGCATAACTCACCATCTTCCAGTTTTCTTGCTGTATCACTTTTCTTTGGCATTTTGCTGCCCTTCTGATCTCTATTAGTCTCTGAATTTCTTCCCTTGCACCTGTGGTCTAACAAATTACTGTACAGGTGTGCAGCTGCTCTCCAGTAACTGACTCCCTATTGTCATAGCAACACCACGTGACCTCACATGTGTAATAGCAATTGATATTAGTATTAAAATATTAGTATGAGCTGGAACAATTGTCTGGATGATTTGAATTCGGCTTAAGTCTTTCAGAGAAAAACAGTTCTATTTAAGACAGGAATTAATACAAATGCAAAAAAAAACAACAAAAAAAAACACTCAATATTAAAATGATCTGAGAACTTACATGAAGTAAAACAATTCTAGCCTCTCAGATGAGCAATTCAAATTTCATCAATGTTGAAAAGGAACAATCACAAAGCATTCTGGATGGTACGCCGTATCCATTTAAACTGTTCGATGCACTCTCACTCATTGGGACACATGACACCTAATGCTGCTGTCACAAGAAGAGGCACCTTAAAGATTTAATGAAGGTTTAGGTTTTCCTTCAAAGACAATTGAACACATTTCACAGTATATTAAGCTTTGCCCTTTCAATTTAACATGCACTTTCTTTAAAACGGGTATGGTTAGAAAGTCTAGAATGAATCCAAATGAACGTTTGCAGTATCAGACAACTGTCAGCAATCATCACACCATACAAGGATTCTGACTAATGCCATTTTAAAGTAGCCTACAAAAAAAAAAAAGTGTGTCTTAACCAGTGTGTATGTTATGGTCTCTGTTCTTGTTAAAGGCAGAAACTAATATGCAGACACTCAAGCACAGTGAAACTCTAAGCAGACAAAAAGATATATGTGATCTCCTGTCTCGTCTGCACCACAACACCTGGTAGATGAGACAGCATCTCAGTTTTCACTGGCGAGTCATTACATGTTCATTAGTGTGAAAAGGCAAAAACAAAGAATGTGTGCACATATGCATAACATACATTCCTGCACATCTGTGTATATACAGTATATATCTATAATAAAAGGAACAATAAAATCATTTGAATAATAATAACGTTTACAAATTTATAACATGTCACAACCATGTACGATGAATGAACCATGAATGAATCTTGTTTTGTTTACTGTGTTGAGACGTGCTGAAGTTGCGTTTGGTCTCGTACTGTATCGCATACCTTGTCAGTGTCGTGCGCTTGCTTAACCCTTTGTTGTGATAAACAGTAAAGTGTGTTTAAGCGCTAGCAAAAGACAGTGTAAAGAAATACTCTTTGAGAGAAGCAATCAATCAGCGGAAGTTAAAAGCAGATCGTAAGTGTATTTATTTTTTGTCTCATTAGTGTTTAGCGCAGTTGTCGTTGCTAGGAAACGCTTGTTTTGTTTACTGTGTTGAGACGTGCTGAAGTTGCGTTTGGTCTCGTACTGTATCGCAAACCTTGTCAGTGTCGTGCGCTTGCTTAGCCCTTTGTTGTGATAAATAGTAAAGTGTGTTCAGCTGAATTCAATTTCCGTTTTGTCAAACGGGTATAAAAAAGGATAGTACACCACGGCAGCGGTCACAGCAGGCCTCATGTGAAGACCGAAGAGTGTAAAGACCATCGACTCTACCGTGCGACT